CAAACTTTAGTATTTCCAATGCAATAATCTTCAGGTTTCAATGTTCCACTTTTTTCCAATTTTGTACATATTTTTGCAACACATTGCTTAAGATCGACTTCAGAACATGCTTCTTCAGTAGCCAAAATACCATACCTGATTTGAATTCATATTGTAGAACTCAAGGAAATATTGACTTATATCAAAAATTAATTGAATTTGCCTTTTAATCAAACTTATCTCTATAAAAACCTATCAGTGATCTTTTATACAACTGATCATTTCGTAAGGAGCAAATATTCATTTGCAATATTTAACTATTTCTTAGTAAGAAGGCAGTTGATTGGAAATGATTATTACTTATGAAGTTTAATCACTTTTTTTTGAAAAAAAACTTTAAATTACTAATACCTTTGCTTAAAATCAGCGTGTAAGGTACGATTTGGAAAACCTTTACGACAAATTCGAATACCTTCAAGTACGCCATTACAAGAAAGCTGATTAAGCACCAATGAAGCTTCAATTACTCCTGTAACAACCTTAAAATATCGAAAAAAGAGAGAAGCTCCTGCAACAAACATGCAAGAGTTAAATTTTAAAAATGTTCAAAAATTCGATAATAACTGCAATACCTGATTGCTTCTTTTCATTCGGTATGATACAACGAATGAAATGTGGAAAAGTTTTGTTAAGCGTAGTCATCAAATTGTTCAACGATTCACGATACATCATTGAAACAGTCATAAATGAAGCTGATTTACCCTTCTTTTTACTCGTTTTACCATCTTTTACTATAAGTTGATTGATTTTTAAATTAAAATACATTTAAATTGCATTATTCTTCTTTTTGGTTAAATTATAATATATTGTTGAATTCACAGAAAAATAATTACAACAAACTGCAATTATCAGAAGCTATATGGTACATATTAAATCAAAAGAATCAATTTCAGAAACAAAAATTAGTGGGTAATTTGGAACTAGAAGTGATAATATCACTAATTGCTGCTACTATATGGAAAATTCATCAAATAATTTAGCAATGTTTTCAATGTTAGCAAAATTTATGCTAAAATTGATATTTTTTAAATTTCTATGAAATGTCCGTACAGAAATACTAACCTAAATTAGCAATATCTTCTTGTGTTTTATAATCCTCCCAAATTTGTGTCATCAAAATCATTCCAGTATTTGCTTTTAAAAAGCTTACAGCTGTATCATTAAGTGGATCTTTGTTTTTTTCTAGCCAATCTGTTACATTGTAACGTACCGTACCTGCGTAATGTACTATGGCTAAATGAGCATCGGCCTGAAATTTTTTAACTATCAGAATATTTATGCAATTGGTAAGAGTGATTAGGAAATCTGCTGAGCGAAGTTGAAATTGTTATCTCATACATATCCTTATTAGTTGATAGTGTAATTATTTTATATGACTTTATGATTATAAGTAAGAGTTCCAAATTTTAAATTGAAATTTTAAAAAAACAAAGGATTTATAAATTTATAAATCATTTTTCATTCCTTCAATCAATTACAAGCCTGTTTTCCTTTCGGTGGTTTAGGCTTCTGCAAATTTGGATGTTTTCCGAGATGTTGATCGTTTACTTTTTGTGCTAATGTAAAATCAGATGCCTTTGGTACAATACATTCTTCGTCCAACATTGAAATAATACCGAGTGGCTTGAAATGAAATTATTTGAAATCAAAAAACAATAATGATTGATGGTTAATTTTCTGCAGATAATTATATTTATAAGTTCCACAAAAAATTTGTTGAAATGAAATGAGAAAAGAATAGTTTAATTTGAAATGAAATGAAAAATAGAGGACGGGCTCTTAATTTGAATAGAAATATTCAATGATTCAATGGAAAACTATTTGACCTTTTCGATCAGTTCAATACACGTTTGAAGATCTAAACCAAAATCAATAAATTCCCATTGAATTCCTTCACTTTGATATTCTTGCTGTTCCAGAACGAACATATGATGATTGAAGAATTGTTGTAACTTCTCATTTACAAAATTAATCCACAACTGCTCAAATGAATTAAACTGAAATGAAATGAAATGAATGCCATAATTAACATAAATTCATAAGTTGCGTCATACAACAATATTCTTTCCTAAAGTTTTGCTATAATAATAACTAAATAATATTAACAGTCTTTAAGAATTTAAAAAAGATTTGAAAATATTGAATAGAATGTTAAATTTTTGATGTTAAATTTCTTACATCAAAAATTTCAAAACCAGCAATATCGAGCACTCCAAGAAAATAATCACGGCTGCGATCTTGTGCATCCAATGTTTTATTACATCTCTTAATTAGCCATGCAAACATTCGCGCATATATTGCCTTTGCTAATGCTCCCACAGCCCAATTCACCTGAAATTCAATTTTAATTAGAAAATAAACAGAAATTGGTATCATTTAATCTAATATGATTAAAGTAAACAATTACAAAATATCTGACCTGTTCAAGATTCTGACCTTTTCTCACCCATTCCATACCAACTTTAACACGAGGCCTCAGTAATGAAGATACAAAATTATCCGTATCAACCATCCACAATTTACAAGCCAATTCACCTTCTGAAAATTACTACGCTTCGCCAATTTCACTCATTTAACTTATCAATTCTTAAAAATATTTATCCACAAAACTTTGCAAGTCATATTCTTTTCATAGAGTTAATCGAAATGGCGAGTAAAGACTTTAAATTTCATTTAGTTTTTAATATTATAAATTTGATTAAACCCTCAACATTTCAGATCATTTAATTAGATCAAATTACCATGATAATCGTCACATTCCGCCTGTTCCTCTCTCTGCCGTTGTTTGAATTTAATTTCACTCATATGCATAATACCAGCTACTAAGGCATATAAGTCTTGCTTTTCTTGCTCAACAAAATGCATAATATCGAATGATTCCTGAGGAAAAAATAAATAAAAATTATTTCTATAGAACTCATTAATTTAAAAAGTCAAGTAATTTGAAAGCGAAAAAGTTATAATATTATTTAAAATTGCTCGAAATTAGATAAAAATATATTAAATTAGATTATGAATTATGAATTACATCAGTTATTTGCATTTCCTCCTTATCATTCACACCATCGATAGTCACTTCAGCTTGAGAAATTAAATGATAGTCAGTTATTTCGCGTGTTAGAAATAACTTTTCTGCAATTATAATAAAATTTTTGGAGTTATCCTGTTGATTGTATAAATTCATCCTTCAGTAAACTGATAAATTTAATTTGTAAAAAATTTTAAAAGCTTTCATATTTTTTCTAAACAAATACAAATGTTTATGGTTTTAATGAATAATCTAAAGAGGAAGTCATTTTACCTTTTAATCCTGCAACTTGACCGGACATAATCTGATAGAATATATGATAACATCGTTCTCCCGGCGCTTGTTTGATAACTCGAGATTTTTCCAATAAATATGTAATTTTTAAAATCATTAAAAATGCTAGAAATATCTCTATAGAAATATGAAAATACAACTTTTTCAATGAAAGTTTTGCAGAAAAAAGTAAGAAATTTCAACATCTCTATAAAGTTTCTCGCGATAAGCATAATGTTGAATAAACAATGAGGACCATGTGATGGGAATATTTTTTAAATTATTTAGCTTCTACAAAATTACATTGTACCACGGTATTTTAAAATAGAATGCAATAATTGATTACAATGCTCTATATTAGCTCCGGCAAGTCTTCCGGCAGCATTAAAGTGAATCCGAATGAATTTCCCAAAACGTGATGAATTATTGTTCCGTACAGTTTTCGCATTTCCGAACGCTTCAAGTACCGGATTAGTGCGCACAATTTGATCTTCAATAGAAGCTTTTTCCTTGCCATTCTCCTCTGATTTGCTAAAATAATTACGAAAGTCCAAATTCAAATTTTTAATATTCATTTATCTGATATGCTTAGATTCATTATATAAATACCAATATAATAATTCATAATATTATGGATCAAAACTAATGAAAATTATATAGTCCATTTGCATAAACAACAAACTCTTATCAATTTTGTCAAACAACAGAAAAAGTTTCGAAAGTTAATAATTTTGCAAACGTTGAGGAGACAATTGAAATTACTCAAATATTTGCGTGTTACGTGAATGAATTCAAAATGTAAAACACCATACTTAAAATTGCTTATTGAAATTGCTATTGTCAATAACTTTTTAGTAATTAATAAAACAGTAGTTTTAAATGTATTTGTGACTATGAAAAGTTATTTCTTTCGATAAGGGGAGAAATAAAACATATAAATGATGAAAATCAACTTTAATTTTGAAGCAAAACGTACATTAATGAATGTGGCGTACCAACTACGGCAAGATAAGCTATAACTTTTTTTGTATTTTCTGTTTTTCCTGCCCCTGATTCACCGGTAATTAGCAATGATTGATTTCTGTGATCTGAAACTTTATTTAAATTCAAAAATGCTACCTTTTATGAATAAGGCAATTTGAATGGTACTATAACTAATACTTCCAAACTTGAAAGAATAAAAGCTAAAGAAAAAAGTAAATTTCTAAACAAGCTGTTCAGATTTATAATTATCAAAAAAATCATCATTGATGAGAAAAAAAAATTTTTTCTAACAACTCAACGGTAAACTCCTAATTCTTTAATTCGTTAAATATCATTCTTCTTGAGAAATTTTAGAAAAGATACTTTTCTTATTTCTAATTAACGTTTGGTTCAAATTTATCATTTATGTTTTAAATTTTCTAAAAAATTACCATTAATCATATTTCTGTAAGCTTCGTCAGAAACAGCAAACAAATGGGGCGGCATTTCAGTGCGTCGTTTTCCAATATACATTTTGCAAATGCTTTCTGTGTAGATTGGTAAACGCTTGTAAGGATTAATAACCACACAGAATAGGCCTGAGTAAGTCTGAAAGAATTCAGGTAAATTTTGTTTCCGAATAGTTTTGTTAGAAGTACATTTTTTACATTATTAATGAAATCTTTTCAAGAATTTTTAACATTTTCTAAACTTCAAGCCTTAAAACTTTGGCATCTCTTATTTGAATTTTTCGTTTTTTTTTTCACTGCGATGCTTATTAGCAATAATTTTTTTAGGTTGCTGTTTTTCTCGCAGATCAATATTTTCCATTAAATAACTAAATTGAAAACTTATCTTAAATATATAATTAAGTGCATTGAATTTCCCATTGCATTTAAATGATTAATTTAGCAATTTTCTCCGAATTGTCTTGAATTTTTTTTATTTTTTGAAACTTAAAAATACCTAAATTTTTGCTTTTTTTTTCTAAAATTAATTGGATAATAGTTGAGTTGCAGAGTTTTTTGTCAAGAGAACAGGATTTGCTTAAACATCAAAATGTATAAGAGTGAATTACATGTTCGAATTTGAGTGATTTGTATTTGACAAACTTTGTTCCAGTCTCTTTTCTTTTCTTTTTTTTGTATACAAAAATTCTAAGGAAAACTTTGAAGTTAATACTTACAAATATTTTCATAATGCAAACAACCAAAAAAAAACATGATATGTGAGAAGAAATGTCATAATTAAGCAAATATATTAGTTTTAAAGAATGCTTACAAAATAACGAAATTTTATTCTCACAAATATATTTAATCTCAATTTAATGACTAACTATCTTTTTAATTTTCATGTAAGCACTTTATTTTCAACTATTTCTCATTTTTTCCCCTTTTATTCTTTTAATAAATAGTCAACATATTTGAAATATGTTGAAGCTTTTGCTAACTTCCTGCTTAATCCGTGTTATCATCATTACCATCATTACTATCACCATTATTATCACTATTATACGACGTGAATGAGCAAAGATTAAAGGACTTGAAAAAACTTTTTCTCTTTGCTTGGTTTATATCAACAAGAAAATTGATATTAAAGAAAGTATTTTTACTTATATTTTAAAAAAATAAATTTGCAGGAAAATCTTTTTGCAAACTTGAAGTGTAATATCGAACTTCAACTTTGCATGCATTTTGCATGTCGGAATAGATTTGAAAAAACTATTATTAATATTATGTAAAATTCGCAACATTTTGTCGACTAATAGAAAGTTTCGCACAACTTTTAAAATTATGATATATTATTGCATAAATTAAATTATTATGATTTGCATGATTTTAATTATTATGATAAGTTAACAATGATATTTCCTGAAGCTAACTTACATAAATCATCATAGAAAGGTATCGTTCACGTAAGTTATGAAGTACGGATGCATCGTTTAAAAATGTTAAATTTGTCATATCTTCCGTTTTCTCATACTTTCGTGGATTCATCTTTTGTGTTTCATCTTTTTTCAAAGTCTTCTAAAATTTTTATTTGGAAAAAACGCAATGTTTTTATTTAATTAGCATATTACATAAATTTGCTTGAAATTAAAAAAATAATGTAAATCGTTGTAATACTTTTCTCTAATGAGAAATATAAATTTACACAATGCTATCTGAATTTTAAGTTTTGCGTGATTTTCAAAAGTAAGAGAATTCATTGTATATGTAATTAGTATTATAGAATTTTCAGCTGAGCATTCTACGAACTCATGTTTCACTTTTTTTTTCAAATTCGACTATTTTTCAAATTTAAAAATTTCAAACCTCAACTCCCTTACAAGTGATAAGAGTAACTAAATCATCCTTTGTTGATTTAATCTCTGCAGCAATGAAACCCTCTTCTTCATCAGGCACCCAAACCTTCTTTGAATTAAGTCTTTTTGATATTGTTGTGGCAATCTAAAATTTTTAATTTTAATTAATTTTAAATAATAGCATACGTAATTATGTTGCAGCAGTGCATCGATTACATGCAATTAGATCAAATGATCAGTATCTTACAGTAATGAGTTGAAAAATTATCTTTTCGAATTATTTCATTATTAACTAACACAGAAATCGTTAAAAGTAATAAAATATAATCAGAATTTGAGAAATATGATAAAATAACAACTTAAAAGTAATAATAAATTACAATCATAAATGGAAAAAAATATGATAAAATAAGAATTTCAAAATAATTTACCTGCCGCTGAGGTTGACGTAAATATTGCCAGCCAGGATCGCTTTCATATTCCAACATTGTGATATGTGGTATGTCGCAGTGTTAATCTTCTGAATTGCCTACATGGAAAATAAACTATTAGAAATAGTAGGCATAGCACTAATTTACAGTAACAAAAGTATAAGTTTAGGTCTGAATAGCATAACTGTCATACTTATCCATTTTATTAATGTTATGCTATTCAAACAGTGTGATTTAAAATAATAATAGCTTACAAATAATTGAAATTTAGTGAAATTGTTTTCAGATATTTTTCCAGCATAAATATTTCAAATGAATAATATTATAAATAATAATACACAATATAATATAATAATACACAATATTATGAATAATATTTTTTTTTCCAGCATAAATGTTTCGAATGAATAATATTGTTCTAATGAATGTTTTGTACTTTTGTTAAAACTTTAGAAATGCACTGAAAATAAAAAGAAAGTTACTTTTTTTGATATTAAAAGAAAAATTGGAAGATTTGACGCTTTTCAACTGATATAGTAAAAGATTATTTTAGCGTAAACTTCTAAGAAAAGTAACTAACTTTAAACATATCTGGTATTAGTTCTAATAAATTAAGACGAACTAAAAAAAATAAGACGGATTATTTTTCTGCAAAATTGCACTTTTAATTGTTCACGCTAAATTATGGGGTGTTTTTCGAATTGTAACGACTATTTCTCTGAAATTGTTTTTTGACAAACTATAGAAATGTCCAGTATTTCATTACGGAATTGCTTTTATGATCATCAATACCGCTCCGACCTAATTCTAATCACTATCGTTTTACGGAGCTGCATGCATGTCACATCTGGTAGTTAACATTCCGGAGAGTTTAGGGAATATCATCCAATCATTGGATCTAATTAACACGCATCATTTTTTAATTTACATTTGATTTCATCAATTTTACAATCATTTAAATTCGATTTCATTTTTTTCTGCATTCCTACCACTAAATTTAGTTTTAGAAAGAAAAGATATTTAATTTGCTGAAAACTCTTCTAAATAGACACTAATATGTGAACGGATGAAAATGATAACTGTATGCTATAATCTGTACAAAATCACTAAGGAAATTTTAAAAAAAAGTAAAGGAAACGATAGCTATAATTTTTTTTTAGTTGTAAAATAGAGGGTATGCTGAGGATATTTGTTAAATAATGAGACAGTAATATCGCAAAGTGGATGAAGATCGGATAGTAGTTTCTACTTCAACTCTCAACAAGACATTTTTTGCTAACATTGTTGACAGAACTAAGTTAATAGTTGAAAATGATGACAGGAATGTTATTCATCAAACATTGTATTTGTTTTACAAAACCAAACAAAACTGTTAAATATGCATACATATATATAACTCTCAAACATATTCCATTTTATTAACAGCTTATAATAAGAAGTTTAATAATAATATTGATAATAGATGACAAAAGTGAGATGTTAACAGTAACACTAATAGGAGTGAAGGAAACTTTTATCTGCAACTTCCATCCAATATTAGTAATTATGGTGAAGATAATGTGGTTATGTTGCTAACAGTCAGTAACTGATAATTTCTTAAGTAAAGAGTTAAGAAATAATAACTTGCGAAGATAATTTGAGTTATCTGATAAGTTGTTCAAACATTAGATTTTGCGTAACACTGATGAAAGATAATGATGATAATGATGTTAATATATTGATAATATTCACCAGTTTAATACTGATTATGGTGATAAAGATTATGATGTTTGTAAAAATAGCATTCTCACAGAACGTAACTGACTGTTGCTGTCATGTGATTATTTCGATTAAATGTTCTGATAAAGCAAGACAAATAACTTTTCCTTTAAGCATTAACAAATAACTTTTCTTTTAAGATTTATTCGCCTAAAAATTCTTTCATCATTAATTTATAAAACTGTTAACAAATTTTTTTGAATGCCTTTGCGAATGATAATATTTAATTTGTTTTCCATTTGATTTTCTGATATTGAAGTGATCTTGATTAACAACTCCTAATCAATCTAAGACTATACTTGGCCTTGTGAGCTATGAAATTTACATTTCAGGAAAAGAATACCTCTTTGGATATTGAATTTTTTTGGAGAAAATTTTTCATGCGTTCATCTAAGTGATATAATAATAATGGCAAGATGAAACTGTTCGTGATAACATATCGATTGAACTGTAACCTTTCATTTTGAAGTTTTGCTGAGATTTTTATTTCTGTAAGATGGCATTAGAGAAATGCATTGCAAAATTGTTTCGATCCACCTGCAACACAGCTGGCAGATGCTGGTAGAAACTGTATTTTAAAAAATTAGTAGAAACCATAGTCAATTTTGTTTTCCGTTTCTTTCAGATTTATTTGTTCGAATGAAATAATTGGTAGCGATGAATTAATTGTGGGAAGTTACTGCATTGCTTTAGCGTAAATCTGAACTATATTCAAAAACTCTTCTTTATCAAACAATTTTATCAATTGTTTCACTAAAGAAATTTGAGATTACATCTAAGAATTATTTCTATCCTATCATTTTAAGTATTTTAAACTAAAATTGATAAAGAGATAAAATAGTTCATTCGTCCATCATCAAAGATATCATATCCTACAACTTTCCTGCCAGAAACTCGTTCTCTTTCATCAGTGATAATTCCATTCTTTTTCTTTCTGTCATCTTTCAAATAATATCTTTTTTTTCACTACGGAACAGCAAAACTTGTTAAATGAAATGAAAAGTAAATTTGGTAAAAAAGTTTTCCAGTAAATTGTAAACACTGAAGTCTTCAAAAAGTGAGGAATTTTCGGAGCAGAAAATGAGAGAAAAGAATGGAATGAAAGAAATAAGAAATGCACGCTTCCATTCGTCATATTTGCTAACTTTCGCAAAACAAAAATAAAAAAGATTTTCAGCGGATTATATTCATTCTTTTCTAGCTTTCATGTATTAAACGCAAAAAATTTCATTGAACTTGAAATATTCTGATCAAAAGAAAATCGCAGGAAGAAAAGAATTAATCGAAATTTTCGTAACTTTGATTAATTCTTTCCTTCCTGTGATTTCTCGATTATTTAATTTAATTTTGACAGGTACATACGCTTTACACAATGACAAAGTGGTTAATTCGGCAATATTAAAAACCGGACATCAAAGGTTCGAGTTCTTGCCTAGTGTGTGAATGATGAAACAGATAGGGACATCTGCTACGACAGTGATGATTGATTGTTCCACCGATGTAGTTGGACCTGACACACACGGATCTTCCTCGAACAATATATGTGAGTGTAATGCGATGTGAACTGGATTCTGAATTTGCGGGTTTAAGGCAGAGGAGTAACGGTCATTCCCGTCGTGGGCAGTGATTTGGAAGATGATGACCATGCTGACCATCCGTACAGGGCGTACGAACTGCGAGGCTTTCTTTACCCTTTTCCAATTCTAAATTCAGCTTCAACTACGCTGCCTTTCCAGTAAACGATAATTATGAATGACCAAAAGGTTAAATACTTCTAAATTATAGTGGTATAAGTAGCAATTTCATGGTGGATTTCAGGCTGTTGGGCAGTTTTGCTAATTATCAAAGTGACTTTTAGAGAGATCCGGTCAAAAGATGTCTGGATTTTAGCATTAAAGATTTTTTCTTTTAAATTAATAAACAAGCTTGCTAGGCATTAATTAATTTAAAATAAATCAAGCGTAACAGTCTGTACTTCACACTATCCACAAAACACCATTTTTTTTTACTGAAAAATTAGAATAACAGGCCATTGTAATAATCGATCATCACATATTAACGGTGATAAATTTGCCGATCATATGATGGCGATAATCTGATCAATCAGCTCAATGTTCATTTAAATATATCAGACTATTGGTATAAAATGCAATTAAATACATCTATTATGAAACTGAGAACAAACAATTTCTTGTCTTTTAAAATTTCAATTTTGATAAATTCTCAATAGTGATATCTGTGATAGTTGTGATATGATCGAGATTAACAATGCATTTAATTAGTTCGATGTCACAAAAACAGAAATGTTGCTAATTGCAATCACATTACAATTCCTATCTTTCTGTCGATGAGAAAAGTTTTTCAATTCGTTTCGATTGGATAACCTTTGTTTATCATTGATGTTTGCTCTCGCAGAAGGAGCATGCGCTCAAATGGGGACAGTTGCGCATTAGTCTCTTCTAAACGAACATCATTGCATTTCTGATGTATGTAACGCCCAGCAGAATCTCTTCTAAATGTACATATTACATTTCGCTTGAAATCGGTATTTCTTTATGAATTATCATTAACTGTTATTAATAATTCATAATTAATTATCACTTAACAATCCTTTATATCGTAATATCATCAAATATTTGGTTATCAGTGGAATGCTAACTTTTCTTGTGCTTCAATAACGATATCGGATGTGAATTAATTAGCATATTATCTAATCAAATAGTAGTTTAGTCAATGCAATTGTGCTTTTTGCATAGTTAAATTTTGTTGCTTTAAATAAATTTCACAATATTTATGTCATTTTGTTCATAAATGAGTGGTAGAAACTCATTAAATCAATAATGCATTTAGCTAAGGGGGAAGAAGAGAAGAAGGCTCTGAAGATGAGGAATCGAAATTGTACTGATCAATTATCCAAAGTTGACTGTGATTAGCTGAAAGTAATGATCAAAGTTGATCCTCTCATAATCTTTCAAAAAGTTCTGGAAGAACTTCATGCTATAGTATGATCATTCTCCATTTAAAGTAAATTGAAAAGCTCAACAACTGTCTGTCTCAAAAGTTAACTGACAATCAAAAAAATTTATTTCCGTTTACTTCGACTTTCTGTACTTCCCACAAAGCTACAATATCTGGGAGGTATACGCAATAAATCGATAATGTGAATATATTGAATAACATCAAAAAAGTTCAATTCTCTTCTGCGATGAACATATAATTACACTCGAGAATTACGCGTGATATTTCGTAGTAATTTTGATGATGAATTTAACATTTCATTTATTTTCAATTTGAAAAATGACAATTTAGGCAATGATGGAATCCATTTTGCAAAACCCAAAGTGTGTTTATCGTACTGATGGTTATTTCCCCAATACATTTAAACGCAATTGCTATCGGTTCAAGGTAATCCTTTTTATTTTTTTTTTAATTATAAACACAACTGAATGAAAAATATTTTTTATTTCGCTCCATTATGACCCTTTTTAATTCGTTTGCAAAGTGCCAAAAATTAAAATTCTAACATTACTGTGCTTGAATTAAATACTGTAATTTTGATTTTACAGATTTAAACTTCGAAAATACTAAATTTTATCCAAATTTATATTTCAAATTTTTAAAATCATATGATTGTAATTTTTATCAATCACTGATAGTTCTCTCAATGAGTATTTTCAGAATGCTCTTCACAATCGCCTTTATCCCATCTCCCCAATGTTTTTTTCAATAATATTCGTAGTGATTGCTTCATTTTTATACAAAAATCCACCGAAACAAAATTTTCTTATGATTTTGCGAGAAATACTTCATGAACAAATTGCATTTATGCTTAATATTTTATTGGTTAGTACAAATTTGGCCTTAATTTGAACTTTCTAAATTTGAATTCTTCAATTTTTGTGATTTTTAAAGTGAATTTTTCAAATAAATTGACAGTCATCAATTTAACGAAAATACTATCATAATTCAAAAACTTTTAAAAATTTACAGATTGCTCTTATGAGCACATACTTACCAGTGTTACTGCTTAGATTTACAATAAAACACTTGTATTTTGGTTACAAAAGATATTTATTTGAAAAAGAAGGAAATTATTCATTTTCGACGAAAGTGTGGTTTGTAAGTTTCAATTTTTTTACATGAATCTTTTTTTTTTTTGAAATGCTGCAGCACAAAGTTGTATAATGGTTGGATAGGTCTAATATGATCATTTTGCGAGAAATTATTGATGCCAACTTTCAAATTATTTCATTTTGTAGCTGCATAAAGGTTAGAAAATTTTTTTCTTCTTTCGCTAACAATTAATTAACTTTACAGTTATTTCATCGTCTATTCAGTAAATTATCACCGCAGCTGTATTCATGTGAAGGATTATTGCCAACTTTACCGCTTCCATCGCTTAAAGGTACAATCCGCAGGTATCTTAACAGTGTGGAACCTTTGCTGAGTCCTGTGAGTCCCTCTTAGATTTGTTGAATAATTCTTTATTTTTTAATCCATTTTTGGAAAACATTCTGAATTGCAATGTTGTGTG